ACCTGTCTATTACCCAATAACTCGCCCACACTGGCTCCAGGAGAATTGGTCGTTGCTGGAAGGGACGGGGTGCACGGTCCTTGTGGTCGTGCTAGGCTCCAAGGTGGTCCCATGCACTCAGTGTGGAGCGGACTACGGTCCAGCCACCGCCTTGTGTGCGCTTGATTCCCAAATCCAGCGTGCTTGTGTTTGGCTGCGAAGGAGTGTGGGTCGGCTCCGTTGATGAAACCTGGCTCCCATGCGCATGCCTCCCGGTGTTATTCCTTCGGGTTTACACTGGATATGGGGTGTATGGATGGAGCTGTGGGTGGTGCAGCGCAAGCCATCCATGGTCTCTCTGTAGGCACCAACCATATTCGGGGACATTTGTGCACACCACAGTCAGGGGTTATTATTGGAGCTCGTTTTGTTGAACTGTAAGGTCGGATGTTCGCTGGGTCTGTCTTTGTGCCAGGTGCTGATGGTCTACTGTTTGTTGCTTTGTTGGCTTTAGCGGTGTTTGCAACAGAGTTGACAGTACATTTAATTTTCGGAGGGGCTTTTGCAGCAATCTCTGCATATGTGACTGGAGTCTCGGGGGATTTGAACTCGACCAGAGGCCCTTGGGTTGCTGATGCTATTGACTTGGGTTCGGCTGTCCCATCCTCTTTAATGATGCAGGTCATCAAGACCGGCTGAATTTGCTCGGTCACACATTTCGTTTAGTGCCTGGTTTAGGGGTTCCTGCTACGGTTTCTCTATCAGAACTACGGTCTGCTTTCGCCTGGCGTTCTACCAAAACTGAAGAACATAACGGCAATGGGGACCTTCTAAATCGTGCTTCGAGTGAAGCAAGTTTTGCACCGTTGCTTCTTTTTGAAGCCACTGTCTTATCCTGGTGCATACTCGCTTCTAGTGTTCTAGTCATAACGTTCTTTTCTTGTTCAACTTATTCTGCTAACCGGTCGCACTTTTGGACTAGGAGAAGTATGCATTTGACTAGTTAGAAGGTCTAAAACGCAGTGCAAAATCAGAAATCGTCTTTGGAGCTGTTTCGATCTCCCACGCATTGTTAAGAAGGGTATGCACATTTTGGATGGTACCGTTTGTAATAGTGTGATAAAGGTAAACCAACTTTGACTAATAGGTTACACACTGCGAATCCGCACTTTCCCTTCGATTGCAGCCCTTTTGGATTCGCATCTGTTTACTTTCTGCTACTCGGTATAATGTTGCTTTCTTACACAGTAAGCAAGTTTACTTTGCGTACTTTTCCGACTGGCCGGTTGCGCACTCTAGTCAGACGAACGGATGCGGCCAATTTGCTTCTTGGTCACACACACTGCCATGTGGAGTGAGAGGGAACGCGATAAAACCAACCTGCCCGAACATAAAGCGGACGCACTGCACGCTGATTTCAGTCCACACGCTGGTCCAAATGCCGCACGGTCAGATGACTGCCGGTTTGTGTTGTAGTTCTGTTTACTAGGCGCAGCACTACTCGCGACAGATCAACGCGATTGACAAGACAAAATGGTAGATCGATCGCGGTCGACCGATAAAATTGGTCAGCCGATGCGGTCGGCTGGCTGACAATGACTGGCAAGGCAATTTTGGTGATAGGACGATAGAATAATTCCTGCGCCAGGCGCTCCACTGGATTGAGCCTATAATTCCGTGTCGGATGGATGGAACTTGAGCCATGTGTGATGAAATGCATAGGGAAAAACCCACTTCAAGGCGGATTACAGGAAGATCGAAAAACCTTTGCACAGTTTTCAAAAAACCGTTAGATATCCTTCCAATTTTTTTCCGCCGGCTAAAAGTGCATGCAAAAAGGAATTATATGGTATATGGGAATCTAAAGTCCGTTAAGATAGCACAAAGACAACGTACAAAAGGTGCAATTGTCGGAGCTCCGTTTTGGTGTCCAATTGTCAGTGACCTTGACGTTCAGCAGGTGCGCCACTAGCGCCCACTACGAGCCATGTTCTGCAACTTCTCAAGCCAAGCACGAGGCTGGTCACGTGGTCTCGCTACGTGGTTTCCGCTACCAAATTAACTTTAGCTCTCTTTGAGCCTTGAGACAAAGAAAACAAGGCCCTCCTCGGAATGCGGTGACAGGGCGTACGAAACTCGTTCAAGGATAGCTGCTGTTCTAAAGAAATACCCTAATTATTAATACCTACTACTCACCTATGCACATCATTGTTGTGGACACGCTGGTGCCATCCAATCCCCAGCAATGCTTCTCAAACAACGATGATCAACGACTAGAAAGGGCTTCAGATCCTCTGATCGAAAGGGCCAAGTCTCACTACCATAGAATAGAACCCTCAATACTATGACGTAGACTTGAGAGAATTCGGCTGTCATGCTTGAAGCGGAACACGGTTATTCTTTGATGCTACGCAACAATGTTCCAGTAGTGAACAGTCTTCTTACAGCACTCGTAAAACGTCTGCTAGATTCGTGACTATTTGTAATGTAACCAAAATTTTGAGATGTTCCATACCAACAAGCTGAGTATATGAGTGAAGTCTATGCAGGGCAGGACCCGAATTCCCGAAAATTTTCACTAATTTGGCAGTAACATCAACTACTTCTCTTATGTCTACTTTTCTATTTTATAACACTGACCAGCTTACCGTAAGCAAGCGGAACCGCAAGTACATCAGTTGGCTGCAATCCAAGGTCAAATTTATCTTTTCATTCTCACTTGGTCCATAATAATTTACTTCACTTTTACCTGACCTGGACGATGCAAGAGATCTCATTGCATTCTACCGTTGCCTTGCAATATATGCAGCGAATCGAGCATTTCATTTGAGTATTTTTGTCATTTTATTTAACGGAACCATTAACAGCGTCACTGCCTTTATCCTATCTGATCGATCTTTTGATGCATTGATGTGACATTGTACTGAATTCGGGTTTCCGTGAATGTGATCACAAGGAAACGAACACATTTAAATGAACTGTCAGTAAGCATTTTGAAGCCAGACCAAAAGACCCTGCTGGTGGGTATTACGACCTCAGTTGACAGAGCGCGATTCCTAGTGATACTTTTCAGTAATATGCGATCACGTCCTGGTATTTTGTTAACTTCAATACTCATGTACATGTAACGTTGTTACAAAAAAGCTACTTTCGTCTCGATGTGTAAGAAGGAGTTCTTCAACTTGACGGCTATCATCCCATTATGTCTGGTGGCCCCAGAAAGCCCAAATGTCCATATGGAACTATCGTCACTTATGTTAATCAACGTCGGTGCAATTCAGCAATCATATTGTCCACACTCTCATGGGTCGTTGTAGGCTACCATTTAATCGAATGAAAGCCAATCTTCCTGAGCTATTTTTAATCAATCATCGCCGATAATGTCCACATTGCTCCTGACACATCATCATCTGAGTTGAAAATTCTCTGAGGACCAAGTTCTATTTATGTTACTGCCGAAACCTGAATGTTCTATTTGCATCGTTACTGGTGACCTCAATAAGAGGGATTCGAGATTCATTGAGAGAATTGGTCTGATAGAATACTTGCTTTCTTCGACCAACCACGATGCGCTATCAGGCGTTGTCTACGCACGCAAAGGGCGATTGTTTTCCACGCAAAACGCGTTCCCTTAGGTAGCTGAGATCACTACATGCTAAATTTACGTCCTGTCATATACAGCAGAGCCAGTTTTGTCACACTAACTGAAAGACTTTTCAAAGCCATCAAACAAGGGAACTGCATTATGGATGATGCTGAGAGGTTCCAACCACTCGAAAACACCGCAGGACTGTGACTTCTAGTCTGGACGCTGGAATGTCAGCCTAAGCATCCAAGCCACCGAGTCACGGTAGGCCGCGCAGGTCAGTGAGGTCAGTGACATATTTGACGGGTCGTTTACCGAGTGATGTCCACCTGTCGGTTCCATGTGAATATCTTGCGAGCTGCATTGATTTTTGTCTCTACTTATGTCATTCTGCTGAAGTGTCCCACTCATGAGCAGACAGGTTACCATCACCGCTGTTGAAATAATTACTAAGGATGAAAGAATAGGTTTACTAGTGGAAGGGGCTTCAACATGCTAAATATCTAAATATGACAATAAATGTTAAAATAGCATGACTGAGAAGTTGATACATCGAAGCAGTTTTGGGTAAGCGCAGTTGTACTGATCTATGCGGACTGTTTAATTGGTCCTGTAATAAAACAGCTCGCGGTCAGAGTGATATAGCTGATGTGGACAACTGTGGTTACCGATGGACAACGAAGTAGAAACCAAGTTTAGCTGATTTTGACAGTGTTACCTTTGAACTCACCGTCGGTGATTGGTTTTGTTTTGGATAAAATTGAGCTTATTCTTTGCACAGTTAAATAAACAAATGGTATATTTATCGACAGTGTGAGACACAGTTAAACTACGTTATCTGAGCATCACGAACATCATGAGCAGATGGTAAGTAAAGTTTTTGCGTTTTACAGAGAATCCCAGAGATGTTTTGGCGGTGTACAAGTATTTAAAAGTAGTAAAGCTACGTAGTGCATAGTAATACATGTAGGTATAGCCATCAGTTCAAGTAAAGTAATATGACCATCCGCTTAACCATCACATTTGGACCTGCTTGCAAGCGAGGTAGTCCCACGAGAGGTTTTATACGCACTTTCACGCTATATCTGGTAAGTAAACCGTCATCATGTTGACTCTTTTTTAGCCGCTGTTGTAAGCAACGGACCATCATGATAATAAGGCTTTTTTATTTGGCCGATTTTATAAGCAAACGGCCGTCATCATGAAGACACAATTTTTCTATGGCCCATGTTATAAGCAATGGGCCGTCAATATGTAGCCTCGTTTTTTGGGTACAGCATATTTTTCTCGCCAGGGGGTCTACGGCGATTCGCCTTGCATGCGTGTAATTAATTAGTTTGGTAGCCTAAGTCCACCACCTCAGGAGCTCGACCCAGTCGTGACCGACCATGGAATGGAAAGAACAATGATGAATTAACACCAGAACCACAAGGAGCAAATATTATGTACTCGGGAATCAAATGTGGTCTGGTGGTTATTTGTTTCCGTTTGTACAAGCAATCAAAGAGGGCAAGTAAATAAATACAGAAAGCAAGCGTTGTTCTCGACAGTGCGTTCGAAGTATTTATAAGCACAGCACCTCTTGAAACGTGTTCATGTGGTTCCATCAGGTGAAGCTAATCGAAAGGAACAGAAATTTTCGTCGGTGTGGATTTCGTGGAGTACGGAAAACTGCGGCGACTACCTGAAGTATGACCTCCAGGAAAGTATAGAATATAATTAGTAGCGTAGAACAATTGCAAATTAACTAAAATGAAAAAACGAAGACAAATTTTTGCCTTGGTACGTTTAGATGTAGCGTTAGGCGGAAAATTCGTGTTATTTGTAAAGGTAACATAATACGACTGCTAACCCTGGGAGAATCAATCGAGTAGGTCGAAAAAGAGAAAACCGCGCATTTAATTAATTTCCGTCCCCCTAATTTCGAAAAGACATTCATTTGTCATATTTGTTCTCAGTATAGCAATAGCTGTTTCAATCTCGAGAAATGAATGGAATGTCTTACGAAATTTTCTCCTTGACTGAATTTCTCGTATCCCACTTCGAAGCCTGTTCAATAATACGGTAAACGAAACGTTGTCCGACTGCTTAGTTCTTGATATTTTCAGTAAAACCTTGTTGTTGTTTCTGGTACAATACTTTGCCGATTCTTTTAGTTGCATTCCCAGATTTGATGAACGTGTTTTTCTGTCTGGGTATCGAAAAAGACGATAGGATTATGTTTCATCCGACTAAGCCATAATGATAATGTTGTAGGTTAATAATGCATCGATCCAAATATCATAACATATAGGAAGAGCTCAAGAAACGTTTGGTGGATGACCGTTGCACTCTCTCTAATGCTATACGATCACTCACTCTGGAATTGAATCCATAATCTAGTAATGAATGTGTTTGTATTTTATACGTGGCATTAATTAACTCTCATAAAATTTATGTTTTGAACAGAATCTCGCTACTCAGACAAGCCTTGGCTGCAGTATGTCCTGCGTGCTCGGCGACGTTAAGGGTGTTCGAGTAGTATGTCCATGTGCCAGAGATGAGATGGCAGTGTGACAGTGGTTTACCGCCAATAGTAAGAGGACCTGATATGATTACACATATGTAGGATACCGCGTGACATTTATCAGCAGAGAATGGCATCTTCCACTTGGAGCACCATGAATCAAGCGTAAGTCACGTTGGATTGCGGTGAAAATGTCACTGACAATAGCGGGGTTGAAAGTGTATGTTATTGGCAAATAGAATAGGTTTACCAAAGATAACACATCAAAAATGTCACTCATATATAGTAGGAATAGCGAAGGGCTCTTGACACTGCCTTGTATCACGCCACTAATGACTGGTTTAAGCATGCTTGTTTCATTGTGAACATGGACAACCTGGGTTCGGTTGGTAAGTTACGAATAGAATCACGACAGCAGAGGATTGCGTATGCAATGTTCAGTTAATTTGGATCAGAGGGAAGCATGCGGAATACGATCAAATACCTTTTCGGTGACAACTTAGATGACTATACCTAATGAACCGCAGTCAAGCGAGCTAATCAAACGATTGAGAAAATCGATCTGACATGCTATGTAGGATCGTGAGCTTATGAATCCGTGTTGTGACGTGTTGATAAGATTTCGGGCCATCAAAAATATCAACAGTTTCGAACTTTATGTGATGTCTCATTATCTTAGAGCGGATGGAAGTATGGCTGATGGTACGTTAGTTCATCGTTTCGCGCACAAAGCGTGATTTTTAATGTGTGATAACTACGGCATACTTTCACTATGCTGGCACAATACTGAGTTTCATAGATATAGCGGAATGATTCAAATTAGTATTGGGATATCGGCGCCCCGTTGTTTTTCAAGGTTGATGCTAAATGGTCAAGTTCACCATTCAGCAAAAAGTGCAAATTGCTGGTAAAAGGAAACCGACGTTTATCTAATTTTTGGGCTTTCGTTTTAGTCACACAGTGCCATGATTTATTGCGCAGTCAAAACACGTTCTTGTTGTTTTCACAGCTAATCGGAGAGTACGGAACTTTTTTCCTCGACAGTACTCCATGAGTAGAGTAGCCAATTGAATTTGGACCGGTAAAGCCTAAGTGACCTAGTCTCCAGACGTAGGAATCACGATCTGATACTGTAGACATTTACGTAACCTCGCACGAGGATTATAAAGGAATAATTGACGGAACACAAAGGCTTTTAGTGTCATTCTAAGGTAAAACGTGCGTTCTACACCTTCGTATTTATAGATCAATTGTACTGCACTGTAACACATAAAATGTAGAATGTGCTGTTGTTAAGACACATGAGTTTCAACTTAGGGACTGAGGACTGCGAGAAACTTATTTAAGGTTAGTGTGGTCTCGAACAGTAGATACTATAGCGTCACTAAGGAGAACTTGTGGTGTCTGCGTAGTACGCGTTGACAAACAGCTGTGGTTTCAATGAGGGGAACTCAGATTTTAAGTGCGTAGTGTGCGTCGCCACATGGTAGCAGTATTACTAAGGTGAATTCAGGCGAACTCTGCGCAACCTTCCCGTAGCTATGCGAGCTCCGCAACTCGCACTCCATTCATCTGTTTCTATGCTCTCTCGAATTCTGTTGTTTTCCACGTAAAAGGGCTGCAAATGCTACAAAATCGGCGTTGTTGTTCACTATGGATGTGACATGTCCTGCTTCTTTTTGCCTCTAGAGTGGCCTATGTTATGCTGGCAGTAATTAACATGGCGCGTTTCTGTCTGTAACATGGCACAGACGGGACACGGCCACTGCGTATTTCGAAGCAGGCAACTTCTCACATCCGAAGACAGTAACCTAGCTGGTGGTATTCGATGAACTTCCATGAGGTGCAGAAGGAATTATGGTCCAATTAGCTTCTAAAATTTTTAAGCAGATAAAGAGCTCTTCCTCGTTGACATTGACTGGCTCTTGACTCACCAGTATCAAAGTGCGTTATCCGTAGTCTCATTGGGTATGAAATTGTGAAAGCTCGTCCAAACGACCAGGCTAAGTTTAGTTGCCTATCTCAAGTTCTAGTCTCTAAATACGAGTAGGGCATGCACCAGGTAGATCAGATATTATATTGATGATCCTGTGAACACTATAAATCTTCTGGATTTGGTGACCTTGCAGCTAAAGTTATGTTCGTGTCGTCCCTTCCACTTCTCACAACGCAACACGGCACAAAGGATCCCATGCACATCAGTGATCTAGTGGAAACATTCACTACTTCGAGCTAAGATTAGTCACAGTGCTCAGTGAGATGCATACTGCCTATGAAGCTGTCACTTCTCCCAAGGTAATTGTAATCAGGCGAAGGCTTCAAATTTGACCTTGCTCTAAGATTCCTTTCCGTGAAATTTCTAACACACCCGCTTTTGCTTCATATCAACTATAGTTTCCTCACTTCGTTTTATCTTGCTACAGTTGACGTATATGCGCGATATTTTGAAATCGCTATGTGTTTCCGCGGTCGCTGGCAGTGCATTTTCCAAAGACCATGTCATAAGGAATATATTGAAACACATTTACAATAAGTGCGATAATTGTGCAAGAAAACACCGCGCCAGGTGAAAGTTTGCTGTTGGGAAGAAAAAACTTGGAAGCATGAGCAAACCTATTTTACTTGAACCAGACATCCGTTCACTTTTAGAGAGCATGGGTGAAATAACATGTACCGTCAACTCCCGAGAATATTCGCAACTAGGCATAATTTCGCTACGAGAGACCTGGCTTCACGAGGAGGCAGATGAAGCATTTGTATCTGTAGAAGAGTTCACATATCATCGGGTCGAACGCCCTGGGGCCTACCGTGACCGTGGTGATGGAGTCATCATTTACGCCAGCAATTGCTACTGCGTCTCTTCGAAAGTTTTGTTTCGCTTCTTTTCTCCAAGCATTAGCCGTTTATTTTCTGAGTTGTAAGCCCAGATGTATCAGTCCGTACCGCTCAATCTTACTGGTTGACATCCAGATTTCACACGCCAGTCAGAAACCTGAAGCGGAGGAATATCAGGACGAGTTTACTGCGACTGTCGTATTTTTGCTAATGAATTTAACCGATTTGACACCGCTTTTCTCACAAGTCTTGGGCTAGAAAACATCGTGAATAGCCCCACTAGATCCAATGCGACTCTGGATCTGGTATTTTTATCAAAAGGGAGCTGTTCCCCATGTGTAATAAAGCGCCATTAGGCAAATCTGATCACTCAACAATTAGACTGTGTCCTGTGACGTACTCTAAGACAAGTCAGAAGAAGGCTATTCGTTACAATGATCCCAAGTTCAGGTGAAGACAGTGTTCCGCACAGAATATTGACCGACTGCGAGAAATCGTATCATCTCCCGTCTCCAGTTTGTTTTTTACACATATATCGACATGTTGCTAACTGTTGACAAGATACCTTGTATTGTGTTTTGGCAGTTGCTGTCCATGAGAAACTGTTCATCCATGCTGACAGGTGCTTTTCGCCATCTGGAGCGGCTACCTAAACAAAAGGATAAATGGAACAATTGAACAATGGAAGAATAGCATATTACGGGCAAAATAGCGGATGCTTAGCAAGTCTCGTAGGATGACCAAAAACAGAACCACAAGATGGTGGCTAGAAAAAAATGGATAAAATGAAGGTCGATTTGGTGGACTCACCACAGTGTTAACACAGAGGCACGCAGAAAGGGCGAACCACAGTTATGTAGGTTAATTCTGGTTGTGTAGCATTCGTCGCATTATCTCCTCTGTCAAGACACACAGGCTATATCTCGTAGTGTAGGCGGGTTAGGGTAACATCAAGGCGTTTTGTAAACACAGGTAAAGTGGGGGCGGAAACAACGTAAGTTGGGAGGGCATTCTAAGACTGAGACACACGAAGAGCGTCAAAGTTCCGTCGACGTTCTAGCTGACTGTATGGCGTGGCTAACATTAACTGATGACCCCACAAATTCGTGTTGTGGCTCAGTTGTAGTAGGTGGCAGCGGACATGGTTGGGGTTCCTTAGAATCTGATAGGCCATAATAAGGTCGCCACGTAGGCGCCGGTACCGGTCACTGTATAATTTTAGGGTCCTCAGTTTAAGTTGATAAGGAAGGTTGTACAACCCTTTGACATGCTTCGTGGGTCGTCGCTGTGGAGTCTGGAAAGCTGCATGGTCTTGTTTGTGTCGGGGCTGTCATACCTGGATCGCGTATTGCACGTGAGGCCGCACGTCGGTGTTAAGCAATTGAAGACAGACAGAAGGATCAAACCGATAGAATGCCTTCTGCAGCATGCCAATGGGTTGGTTTCTAGCCTTTGATGCTATCTCAGATTGTTCTGAGCAGCCAACATCAGCCTGAACTAGTACTCCAAGGTCACGCTCCTGGGTGACTGCTTGCAGCACATGACCGAGCTTGTATGTAATGTTCGGCTGCTGGCGAATGTGGACCAACTTTCACTTCCCCGAATTCAACTGGAGCGGATTATGAAGTGACCTTTCATGCGCCCTGTCCAGGTCTCGCTGAAGTGCATCGTGAAGTGCTGCGTCGGCGATCGTCCGCCACTTCTTTACATCGTCGGCGAACAGCAAGCAATCAGAGGTAATCAAACGATTAAGATCGTTAATGAACACGAGCAATGGAAGCGGCCCCAGAACTGATCCTTGTGAAACGCCATATTTGACCTGAATCGGATCGGACAGCGCACTTCGAACTCTGACCTGTAGTTGTCGATCCAGCAGGAAATTCCTGATCCACCCAAGGACTGGATCACCAACTTCATAGCTTTCGAGCCTGTGAAACAGAATGCGGTGGTCCAGTCGGTCGAAGGCTTTGGAGAAATCGAGGTAAATGACGTCTGTCCCTCTTCTTGTATCGGCCGCTTCCGTCTAACTACTGCGTGCAATCGGTAGGTTCGTAGTGCATGGACGGCGCTGGCGGAAACCATGCTGCTCGAGTGCGATGATTTCGTAGCGTTCTAGATGGTCTGCTACAGCCTCAGCAGTGATTGCCTCCATCATCTTTGAGACCACACGGAGTATTACCACTGAGCGATAGTTGGCGGATTCCGAGCGATTACCGCTTTTGAAAATTTGAGTGATTACGCCATGTTTCCATACGGTAGGCACAACTTGTTTATCCAATCACGTTTGGAAGAAATTTAATAACAATACGGCTAGCGTTGTTGCTGCTATGTTCAGCGCCCTCGGGTGAATATAATCTGTTCCGGGAGAGCTCTGTGCGTAGTGAGAGCAGTTTCTTCAACACAGCTGTGGCAGTAAAATCAATGTTAGTGAGTGCTAAAGTTGGGAATAGGGTTGTGGGTATGCAACACTGGTGGATGTCTCTTTGGAAGGTTGGGGTATACTGCATTCGTAGGGCGTTGGCTGCCTTTTCGGCACTCTGTGCCACTCCGACTGGTGTTAAGTGGGAGATACCGAGTTTCACTTTCCGGATGGTGTTAACATGCCTGTATAGGAGCATTTTGCTGTTGGCAAATTTACTGGCAAAATGTTGTTGGTGAGTCAATTTGTTCTCACGGACAAGCTTGTTACAGTGGTTTCGCTGGGTCACGTAGTTGCTTCAGGTTTCGAAATGAGGACGAGCTCTGTAAGTCTGCCAAGTTGTATTCCTATTGACATGCGCTTGCGAGTTTTACTTCTGATGAAAGATGAGGGATTGCTGGAGTAAACCTTTTTTGTTTCTGAAGCAGTTGTGATTAGATTGCTGAGGCGCCCAACAAACTGAATCTAGGCGCTATCAGGTGAGCCACTTTTTAAGAACTCCCAATAGGTCGTCTCAACTACGTTGTTCAAGATGCAGCGTAGGATGGTACGTGTTAGTTCTGTGTGTTCCTCAGGATATTCAGCGTAACATACATAAATATAAAGCGTGGTGCCGTGATCGCTTAACCCCAGTGGTGTCTATAAATAGCCTGTCGCTCATGAATTCCTCATTTGTAAGTACAAGATCAAGTATCGAGGGTTTGTTATCAGCTCTATACCTGGTAGGTTAGCTGATGTGATTGTAGAGCGGGATACTTACGATAAGATCTTGCAGTTTGGCCTTGTGTGTTTCGCTGGGGGATGCCGAGCTTTCCAAGTCGTGCACGTTGAATCCACCGGAAATAAGAGCGTGGCTGTAAGTTGGGAGTAAGCATTTCGTCAAGGATGATATTAGGTGGGAATCCATTTCTGGGGTGGACGATGGGGAGTGATGTACGACTGTCACGAAGCAGTTGTCGTTGTGTCTAATACGCAAACGGCATTATAGCGAATCGGTGGCCTACGTCTTCGGATCATCCAGTTGTTCGAATGGCAAATCGTTCCGATAGTGTAAGTTAGCACCACCTCTCCTACTGGGACGATTGTATCGGAACAAGAACATTCCCTGAATCGCGATCTCGGTATCCGTAATCCCTGAGTGCAACTATGTCTCGGTTCTGGAGATGAGATCCCAAGCGTTTGTTGTCTGACGCAACCGAAGCTCGGCGAGTTTACTGAGGAGAACTTGGGCATTCGTGCACAGGCAGGAAAGTGTTTCGGTTCTCAGTAACGCTCCGAGGCACTTGCGGCTAGGATGATAACTGGTGTCGACCGTTGTATGGTTGACCGCTAGTAGCTTTTTATGATTTTATCGGCCAGTCGTTTGGGGTAGGGTTCAGTGGCATCATGATTAGCTCGTCTGACGACTCACTTTGCACCATTCATGGGGAATGGCTGCAGGATAGCACAGGAAGATCCTCACTTCCTTCAGAGTTGCTTCGGGTGTGGATTTCGGGTAAGCTCACTAATTCGTTTGCGTGCTGTGTTGGTGCTTTAACTCGGACGACAATTTCGCTCGCCGCTTTGAACCGAAACTCGGTTGGCAGTCTGTTCCGAAGTGAATGCCAGCATTGCAGTAGCGTAAGTGCCATCTGACTAGGTTGTAATACAACCTTAATTATCCTTGGGCCGCACCCTTTGTAGCTTTCTGATCTTGGCAGTCTCGAGAGAGTAGCAACAACCTCATTCAAGAGCAGGGTCTTAAGAATATAGAGCCACTGCTCCTGGTCGTGTACCTTTGCTTCGAATTCATCGTGCTCCTGAGATTGGGGGACGCCGTGGACAAAAACGGTATTGGCTGCGGCATTTAGCAGGAACTCCTCTAAACTCTGCTTCGATCGCTTGTGCTCGCTCCAGGGAACGTCTGGAAAGATGCGGACCAGACCGCTTTCGTTCTGGAAACGTGCAGTCGAAATCAACGCTACTTCTACCTCATCGACAGAGTTTAGCACCACCCGAAGAAGTCTGGCTTCGCCATAATGCTTGGAATTTGGGTGGCGGGTGATCCTCGTCCAGTTGGTGGGTTTAGTCAGAATATCGAGGAGGTTACTTATGGCATCCCATTGGTTCAGGTCATCTACCTGTTTCTCCTTCAAAGAATTCGATGTTGAATCACTAACGTTGGTACAGATTATAGTCAGGGCATCCAGTGGTTTCTAACTGTCTTTGTTGGAAGTATGGTATGTAGTTGGGAGACCCAGCGATTTACTGTGCATCCTTGCAGCGTTACCTTTCACATTGGTTATAGGTGTGGTTATAGCAACAGCAGCGTCTGCTTTTGGAGTGCACTTTGCTGAAACAACGCCCCAGCCGCCACTGGTATTTGCATGTTTCCTGGGTTTCAACGATGTCTGGAGGGAGGAAGTGCGTTTGGGGCAACTGTTGCATATGGGTTGGAGTTTGGGTGTTCGGGAACGTTTGGAAGATTTGGATTATTGGCAGTGTTTGCAAGTGCAACTTTAAGTATGCAACATTCAGTGTTGAAGTGGCTTCTAGTGGAGTTAGGCAGCGGCGCAGGTATCAGACATTCTGCTATGCTTGTTCCTACCGAAGCTATTATGATGCCCAGCATCTTCTCAACAACGTCTGTAAGTCTTTCATACTTCTGGGACAGTGCAATTGTGATTTTAACTAGTGGAACAGCATTACACTTCGCACAAAACCAATATGAGTCAGGCCTGCTGCTGATCAGCCTGCACTCGCTTGGTGTGATTTTCCCGCACTTCGCATGGTAATAGGTTTGTCGATTTCCACAGAAAATTCCTATTTTGACCGTCTTATTGCACGTTCCACAGGCTCCTTTAGGCACCGCGGCTCGGTTATTTGCATTCACCAGGGCACATGAACGTGTGTTGGTTAGTCCTACCCAGGACCCTGGATTGATTGGTCCGGCGTACAGGTCAGCGAGCCGAGTCAGTGGCTGTCTCAATGTCACTTCTGCGGCCGCGCGCAGATAGTGGGATTCAGCGGTGCGCATACAAGCACACAAAGGCGCAGCGTGTATTAATATAGTCGCGTTGTACGACGACGCAAGCGGGACGTTGGCAAAGTAACCTAAGTGCCTCGGACACCATGTTTAGTAGTTAAATGACGCAAAATGCCTCGTAACTTTGTTATTCTGCCACCTGTAGGAAAGGTTGCGTGTCACTTGAGAGTCCTCAGCTTCTTCTACTGAATGAGACCAAAATTATCCTTGAAAAGCTCGGGAATGATGTAATTTCACAAGCAGAACTCGACGAAGAATGTGCCGAAACTGAGAACGGGAGTAACAGTATGATCCATATCAATTAGATCCAAAAGACGAAAAGCACTGAGTAGCACTCGTCGAAATGTTCCGAAAGATCACACGCACAAGAGTATATGTGGGGAACTGGAGTAACCACAGTGAGTGACGCGAGAGCCGAGAGAAGTTGCGGCCGTACGACAGTCGTTGCCAAAAATACACAGCAACACAACAAAGCCACTCTCCGTCCTGATAAAATATGAGATGCGTCGTTTCAACCGCGTGTACTTTCGAGCTATACCTGGGAATAGTATTTGCCGTGAACTCTGGAGGATGTTAAAACAACCAAACGGACCTACTCGACGTACATCAACTTCTGTCGTAGAGTAGCTAAACTGGACCATGATTTCTGCAACTGCAACTACAATCCGATCTCTGACTCATCCTTCGCCCAGCCTAAACTGGACAATGAACAAGGGTTTATCACCGATTATAAAGCAAGTACTTGACAAGACACGTTGGATGGTTAGATTGAATACTATAAAATCAAAAGTTATATATGTCATCTATTGAGCCTCTACCGAGTTAAATGTGTTGACTAATATCCTTAGTGTAAAATAAAAATTGTATGCGCGCATACAGAAAAACACGACGTGCAGCGATCGTTAAGGTTAAGCGAGAGAGAACTAAAATATGGTCGCTCATTTATGTGCCACATCCTTAGACCCATGTGACACATAAATCCGGTAGAATCGTATGATTAAGGTACTTCACAATTGTGCAGTTTAGGTAACGATTTGCTGGGAGCTAACCACAACATCCAATCATCTTTTGAAAATGTCCGAAACAGGGGAGGACACAGATGAGTTTTGGATAGAGTTCCGGGATCGGCAAACCCAAGGCACAAAGTAACTCCGTCAGCACTAGACGGCTGGATTCTTTACTCCTTTTCAAATAGTTTCCTCTGAGCTAGATACTGCGGCTAAGCTCCAGCCAAAGGCAGCATACGTGGTTGGGGTCATTCAATATGTGGTACACTAATATGAGGTCGTCACACAACCTTTCGTAGCGTCTGCTGAAACTCCCAGCAATTTCACCTTCGCTGGTAAGAATGATTGCGTAGTACCTGCGTTGTGGTGTCTTTAGTAACTCTAGGTCTTACTTCAACCAAGGTTGTCCGCAAATTCACTTCTTCCTGTCGATGGCAGCACTGTACCTAAGTTACTGGAATAACTTCACTTTGGGAAAGCAAGTTCGGACAGACGTTCTCTCTTTGTCCTCAAAGAATTGCTGACTTCCTGGCCAAACTGGCAACTTTATATACATTGTGCATTTAAGGAGATAACATTGCTGATTGCTGGACAGGCGCCAAAATTGCAACTCCAAAAAGGGCTCAAGCAAATATCAACCAATTGCTTGTGCTTCGATAGCCTTAAAGCTGTTGGAAAATATCATTCGTGAGAAGCTGCTGACACAAAGCCGTCAAACTTTTCTCTTCAATTTGTCTGCCGCAGTTTGAGGCTAGCCCAAGATGCGGTAAGTTGTCTTGTGCACTCGGTCTTGTCATCACTGGACAACCGAAGCAAATTAACCCGAGTATCTTCCCTGAAATATAGCAAAGTTATCGGCTTCCTAAACCGGATTATTGTTGAAATACCTACTCGATGTTGGAATACATCCTTCTGTCGTTGTTGCGTTGAGGGATTATTTTACCGGTCTTACCAAGGTTAAGAGATTGGAGCCAGAAGCTCCTCGCCCCTAATCACAAAAAGCACTGCTCATCAGGACGCTGTATGTTAACATTTCTATTTGCCAATTATATCAGGTCAGTGCCAGTCCTCAGGGAAAAGACGCTGTTGAAGTACGCGGATGACATTTTCCTCGACGTCAATCAATCGATCACTGCATCTTCAGTCATATTGTATTGGCGCGGAAGACAGCGATCACGCAAGAGACTGAAAAGCCATTAGAACGAGCGAGGACCGGAACGTGCACAGACATCATGGACGAGATCGGACTAAGCAACGCCAACCCAAAAATACGAGTGGAGAGCGTACCACGAGCAACGAATGGGAACGGGTCTGCGCCGAACGGTACAGCAAGAGGATGTGTCGTAAGGTCAATAGATCAGTCCTAAATGCCTTTGTCGGTGCATCCAGGAGTAACCCCAAGCCGAATCACGCCACCGAGGTCAAGCAAATAAAGAGCTTTAGAAAAACTTCAGACTGATAAAATTGTGAGCTACGGAAGCAAAGATACGGAGTCAGACAGGCAGCCAGGGCCCCTAAAGTTGTAGGCCAACGAGCTAAGAAGGTGACATGTTGTCCTTCCTCATGTGCGTTGCGTTGTGGGACGGAAACTTGGTCGATAAATGCGCGCGTACGCGCAGCTTGTGAGAACCGTGGTCGCGTGCAATAAACATTGTGCTTTCTTGCAGCTATCATATTACAACATATCTCTAATGATCTCTTGTTTTGATCAAATCCAATGGAGCTGTCGCTTAATGTGTCAAAATGAATTGCTGTCGTTTTTCCGCTGCACACAATAGATCGATATCAGCTGCCTCTCCAGGAGTGCCTACAACTCAACCTCTGTCTCCCATGATTTGATGCTTCGATTTGTCACTGTCTGTGTTCTTCCACATTGGACGTACTGCTCACTAGTAATTTTTCCTGATCTACTGGGCATGGACTTCAGATTGATCTCCAGGTCGTTAAACACGTCGCCATGTAGTGATGTATTAAAGCTGACTTTTATAGGCATAATGAGTCAACACATGTTGGTTTCTGCAAGGGAATAACGCCGGCGGTACTCGCTGACAAAAGTCACCCCTTCACTGTGTATTTTCGTAGTGTGTTTCGACGTCGTCAAACAAACAGAATTACACATCCATATATATTTGCACACGAGCTTACCACTGGTCAGTTATCAGCTACCTAGCGCCATTTTTGCTGGAAAAGGACAAAGTTGTCCAAGAATTAACCAACCAGATAGTGCTATGGTGGTACTATATATATATATATATATATATATATATATATATATATATATATAATCCACCCTTTTCGAATTGCATTTATTTCATGCTGCATTGCTGAAAGCATGTGTGTTACGGCTAAATTGCCACCTGTTCGGGGTGCGTCAAGCACTTTCGTGACTTGATTTGACCTTTCTTCGCTCGATTCAGCTTAATTTCTAAAACTTCGCGCGCCCTTTCATTACCCGAATTTGATAGATATATGCTGCATAGGTACCAAATCTGTACGACAGCCGCTTATTTTAGACCATCCGTAATAATCCTTTCCATTATTGTTATCTATAAGCATGTCGAGAATGCCGAGAAAAAGATGGCATCTCAACTAACACCTAGTCGCTCTACTAACTGCTTTCATTACATGAATCTTCCTTAACTTTCATATGAGCAATCGCGCGCAGTTTAAGCCAACTGAACTTGGTCCGGTTTTCAGTGTTTGAGGCACTTGGCCAATGGCAATCGTGGTAAAATCCAACAGAACGTGTTAAATCATTACGCACGTTCGGTAGGTAATCACTTGAATCAACACGTTGGTTCACCCGAACGCTTCAGCAAATAAACGTAACATAATGTGCTTAAAAATCCTTACTTGTTCACTAATTTCATACTATACGAAAGGCACTCATACCTCTCTTCTACACTTGGACGACCTATTCACAAGGGTTGGAGTGTACACCCGCCCGAAAATAGCGGATCATTCGCTTTTGATTCCTTTGGACTCTACAGACAGAGACTAACCAGTATTGCACCGTGAAAGGCGGATAGAAGTTGTCACCAGATCTGTGAGTTGCGTCATTCCATTATTCCACTTTTCCGTACAGAAAACGCTCATTTGGACCACAATAATCGAATGGAACATACTCAGGCGAAAATTTGTTGTCACTGTTAAACAAATATGTGTCGAGGAAAGCTGTACCTCAATTGGACTCTTGTGTAAACAGGCACATTCTCTAGCGTATCGCATCGGTGTTGGTATTAGCCTCAGGGTCCTGTCTGGCTTGCATCCGCTAAAACCGCAAAAACCTCGTTTTCTAGGCACCATATCCTTTGGGCATTCAAAGCATATATAACAAATTCGGAGGGACAGTTCCGTGCCTACGGATAGGAACACGTAACAGATGATAACAGATGATAACGGATAGACAACATAACAAATGGTTTTCAAGGAAGGTAGTATCATTCTAAAATGCACTCAGACACAGTCATTAAAGTGTACAACATTTTCAGCATCCAGTTAAGTGACACATGTGCAGTATTACCGTCTGATTAAATTAGAATGCAGAATGCAGGTTGAAATGTGAGTCTTGGCCCTAGCGTTAAGAAGACTTTTTAAGACAACTTACCTCCACAGTAGTTCCACTTATGGTTTCGAGGCAATAGTATTTGTTCACATTGATCGGCGCGGCATAACATAACGTTATTAGTCAGTACAAAGGCTGCGCTAATGCAATTGATGTATTGGTTGACATTTTATCATCTGAAAGCAGAGTTGTAGAGCAAAACTTTTCAGATGAATGTATTTTCCATAGTAGAACTGGATACTGCGTCAGCATGTCGCAAAGTCGTTTCGCAGGGATACCTTTTGCTCTGCTTCATAAAATTGCATTTCACCATAAACATCGATTTCAGTGTTTGAACGTTAAGATGCGCTTCCTTGCAGTGAGAAGATTCTTTCAGTAAGTGCATTGGTACCAGAGAGACGGATAATAAATTCAATAAGTTTAATGTTTGTTCACATGGAATCGATTCGGCCTAGAAATGGGAAAACACTTCCACCCATCACAAATTAACGTTTATTTGTGTTCAGTTCCAATCAGAAGTTTTGTTGGCTAATGCAAAACTACACAGGTTATTAACTTCGTCAAACAGCTGGTTGTCATTGATTTATAAGCTAAAGAGTTTAGATCCAAAATGAGTGACGCTTGATCCAACTTTTTCCTAGGACGGTGTCTGTTTTAATGCCACTCAACTGGCGCCACTTAGTTCTTGAAATTGGCTTATTCCTGTGGCGGATAAACGCAACTGTCGTAGAAGCTGGGGATAAGATTCATCACATCTGTTTTTCTGATGTGACCCGCTTGTTCTAGTTGGCCAATTCGGCTCTTTACCTCGTTTGGAACGAAGCTGTTTCCTCTCCTGTCCCTGCATTTCTGCGGAAATTCGTACACTGCAGACGACACTTCCAGTACTGAAATATTTAGTACAGTAGCGTGAAGAATTGCGAAGATTTTGTGTATGAAGAAGAGTTACGGTACAGCGCAGGGGTTTTCAAAGAAACATTGTAATTCTGTAGGACGCTTCTATCGAGACATAAAAATAGGATTCCAACGTTGAAAATGGCTTCAGGATTCTCTCCACTGCTGGCTCACAACAGTGGATCAAAAAGTTCTCGGCGTGGTATAGAAAGAGGTCAGTTATCCAAGTCGTGCTTTATTACTGTTCAACATAATCTGCCATATGTTGAATGCACTTAGTCCAGCGGAGTACAAGCTTTGCTATCCCTCTGTGGAAGAAGGTAGATTAATGGCCCCCTAACAGCGCTGATCAACTCCTGATCATCGACAAATCTATAACCCGGAAGGAGAGATATTAGTTTAGGTAACGGATAAAAGTCTGATGGGGCCAGCCCTGGCGAATAAGCGGGTTGTGGCAGCAAATCAAACCATATCTGGCTGCTTAAAATGTCTGAACAGGTGTGTTGTGATGCAAGCGAGTTTCCCCTCCGTATTTCTTTGGTTACTCTTTAGTTGGCGTAATTCTGAAGTAATATCAGTTGTGGCTGTATGCTCCCTCAAAAAGAACTCTCTCATGATTACACCTTCACTGTCCCAGAAGAGAGAGGCCATTGCCTTTCCGCGAACGTCACCTGACGGAACTTATTTGGGGTAGAGAATCACAGCCTTTCCACCGGTTACTTCAAATCTTTGGCTCTGGTTCAAGGTGATGAACGCATTTTCATCTTCGGCAACATTACTATTGCAACATCCTGCGTGATTTGCCTTAAAACGAGTTAAGTACTACCTCGAATTTTAAAGTCTGTTCAATTTCTGATCGGGTGTCAGCATTCTGGGCACCCATCTTGCAGTCAGCTTTCTCATCCCTAACAAACCGCCAAACTCAGAGCACAAATAAACAATTGCATCCCTAACATGTTCAGTAGGACGGCATACTCGAAGCCATAACTGATGCCCATAGTCTTAGCCACTTGAAGAATAGATAACCTATCGTTAATTATCATTCATTTAGTCTCAGAGCGAAGTAGAAGTCTGCTTCCAGATTTGACAATGAACAATGATTTATAACGGGTAAAATAGCAGGTGCTTGACATGCCCCGTAGGGTGGTTAGAGTGAGAAAAGATAGATCAAGGGATAATGGAATCGTCGGTTCAGGCGATTACAGATTTAAATGCACTGCCGTATAAAGGGTTTGAAATTAGTAGGTGCGCACACAAAGCCATAAGGGGGGTGGTTATTGATCAGGTAATAGGCGAGAAAAAAATTAAAAATAGCAAGGACAACGCTTACTCGTTTGCAGCTATCTTGGGTGGACAGGGTACAGAAATCCAGTTACTACAGTTGTAGCGTTCATCAAATTGTGTGCAAGGGGTTTGGAGTGACTCATTCTCGAGTAGGGTTATGGCGCTGTCCACTGTGCATTAGAGCCAGCATCTGGTGGTCATGGGCTATATCACGTAGTGTAAATGTGACAGAGTTTCGTCAAGGCGTTTTTTGAAAAGGGATAGGGGGAGCATTAATTACACGTTCGAATCCATTTTAAGCTGCCGGCTTAGACGGACTTCCTCCGCACCTGTTCAGGCACGGCAGCATGGCGATCGTTAAGCAGATAACCACGTTGTTCGCAAATATCTGGCATGATGAAAAAGTGCCTACCTCTGGGGACGATTCAGTTATCGTCCCGACTTTCAAAAAAGGCGCTCGCACTTCCTATATCAACCATCGCGGGATTAGTCTTATTTCGCTTGCCACCAAGCTTTTTTCATCCATACTGCTTCGTAGACTATCCCCAGTATGTGAACCATACTATGGTGAAGAACAAGCTGGTTTCCGTCCCGGCCGAGGGTGCGTGGGTCATATCTACAGGCCCCGCCAACTCCTCGAACACCGCCACATTTATCACAGACCCACTATCGTTGCATTCCTAGACATACGGACTGCATTTGACTCGGTTAATCGACCTGCTTTATGATGCTGCTTGATGAAGAACGGGATGCCAGATTAGTATACTGCCATCCTTCGGGTACTTTATCTTCATACCTACGGCAGGGTGAGAGTCTACCGTAAGCTTTCCTCGCCCTTCGCTATCAATAGCGGTGTGAACAGGGCTGTTCTATGTCCCCATTCCTCTTCAACTTAGCAATCGAGGACGTCCTGTCGACAGCTCTGGAAGATTTCCAATATTTCGGCCTATAGCTTCTTCCGGGTGAGCGCGCGACCAACTTAGATTATGCTGGTGATATCACCTTACTTCTTGATGATTTTCAGGGTATACAACGCTTTCTGGATCCTTTGGCGTCTAGCACAACTAGCACGGGCTTCGCTCCACCGTAGTGTAGAGAATGGCTGCAGGATTGGCCCACACCTACTCTCGTGCTCACATTTGAAGGTACACAACTTGAAAAGGTCACTAGTTTCATTTATCTTGGGAGCTGTTTTTCTATTGGAGGCACTGTCAATAAAGAATTTTCTCTTTGCATCGCTAAAGCCGGATCTGTATTTGTCAATCTGAGGCACTTGCGGCATCGTCGTGACGTCTCCAGCTCGTTAAAGGGCCATGTTTACTGTGCCTCTGTTAGTTCAGTGTTCTTAATTGTGAGCGAGACCCTGCCAATTTGCTTAGAATACATGCGTAGTATTTCTGCCTTCAACCACGGCTGTTTGAAGGGGATCGCCCGTGTGTGGCAGCAACATCAAGTTCACAGTGATAAGGTTGGACGTCGCGTTTTGGGGAATTCGAGTATTCCCTTAAACTAATTAGTTTTGCTACGCCAGTCGAGGTGGCTTGGTCACGTCCGACGCTTTGCGCCTGAGCATTTACCGCGCCGCGCTCTATTCGATCGTCAGGGATCTGGCTGGAGACAACCGCTTAATGATTAGGCTTCCAATGGCGACATCACCTAAAGTCGCTGACTTTGCGTCCAGCCGCCGTTGGACCCGTACGTCTTCCAGGATGGGCACCCAAGAATGAGAAGTTCCAATGGCTTATCACACTTGAAGACATGGCCCGCAACCCGAACCAGTGAAAGAATTGTGTACAGCATTGTATTGTTTCAGTGTTTAATACGTCAAACATTGAAAATGAAAAAGAGAAACCTCGGCGTGTTAAAAGCAAACTGAAGATGTTTACTTGTTGTCACTTGTACGCTCCTTTGATTCTCACGGTTTTCTTGATGGCCCTATATCCATTTCTTAGACTGTTTATATATATATATATATATATATATATATATATTGTAGCTTATATTCAAAAGCTTAGTGCCAAATAATAAAAAGGTTAAAATTGCTGCGCGTGAAAAAACAAAAACGTGCCTTCTTGCGTCACAGTAACTGAAGTGCGTTGCTCACCTTCAACTACTATGCCACGATGGTGATGACGCGGCGACTCTACCTTTTATCGTCTAATCTCAATGGTTTTGTTGGCTTTATGTCTGTTTAGTACTGATGAGTAGTAGTGAGGATTTTGGTGTAGTTCTAAGTCCTATGTGGTAAATACGCTTTATTCGGAAAGTCCCAGCTCGTGAGGCTGGCCATTGTCCTCTGCACAGTTCGCAACTGGCATGGCAGAGGAGGAGTAGCCGGGCTATATGGTAGTCAACTGTCAACCATGCAGGTCCGCGGCTGTCACCCATGGCGAAGTGGCACCACCTGCTGGCATCCTGAAGTCATGGGGGCGGAAACTAGCAGTGGTCCGCTGGGAGGCGCACCACTGACGAGACCCAGAATGTTGAAACGCCGGCGTCTGGTGCATTTCCAGACTAGCCTAAGCCTGCTGATTGGGAGTGACAATAATGAATTAGCTGAATTTATGTCTCTTTCTTAGATTGCTGATACTACTACTGCTGCTCTGTGTTGTATAGACATCCCAGGTCTCATCGCTGGGAGCGGCTATGAAGGCAAGCCACGCGAGTCCATCAATGCCATGCATTTCCGAGTTCTGCTCCTTAGGAACGACTTCATTTTTCTCGAACGGTGGATTTTGGTTTCTGATGTGCTCACCACGGGGCCGTTAACCTGTTGGCAAAGTCCCCGCAGGTCACCTCAGCGGAACATTCGGCTAGGAAAGATCAGCTTGTTGCGCCAGTAAGGTTACACAAGTCATCATGGTTGTTTAGAAGTGCAATTCCTCGGTACTTTCTTTAAGATACCCTGCGTAGCACATGTAATGAAACACTATTGCCGCTAGTCACTGCGGCCCAAAGGAGTGGACATCGTAACTACGTAGCTCATGAGTTCATTGTT